TTTTTTGGTGCCGCCATGAGCCGACAGTGCTACACCTCCAGCTCCATCCTGGGCCGGAGAGGCTTCTCCTCGGCCTCCGCCGTGTGCGGGCTGGGCCGCGCCAACGCCAGCACGGCCTCGGCGTGCCAGCCCTCGGGCCGGCGCTGCGGCCTGGGCGGCTTCAGCAGCCGCAGCGTCTGCGACCTGGGCCGGGGGCAGCGCATCTCCTTCGGGGGCAGCTGCCGGGGGCAGCTCCTGGCCGGGCCGGCCGTGGGGCGCTGCGGGGTGGCCTTCGGCGGGGGCCGCTTCGGCCTGGTGGGCTTCGGCGTGGGCGGCGTGTGCGGCGGCGGCGGCGGCGGCTTCGGCGGGCTGGGCGGCTTCCGCGGCGGGCTGGGAGACGGAGCGGGCGCGGGGGGGTTCGGCGTGGGCAGGTCCGAGGGGATCCGAGGGGTCAGCATCCACCCCGAGCTGCTGAAGCCGCTGTGCGTGGGCGTGGACCCCGAGGAGTGCCAAGTGAGGACCCACGAGAAGGAGCAGATCAAGAACCTCAACAACCAGTTCGCCTGCTTCATCGACAAGGTGAGGGCCCCCCACCACGTTCCCCGGGGGGGCGGGGTGTCCATAGGGGCTCCTGCCAGAGGGGAAGGTCAGGGAATTGTGGAATGGTTTGGGTTGGGAAGGGTCTTGAATGTGACCCAGCTCCGCTCCCTGCCGTGGGACAATTCCCACTGGGAAAGGTCATGGAGTCGTGGAACGGTTTGGGTTGGAAAGGACTGTGAAGTTGATCCACTTCCACCCCCCGCCATGGACATGATCCTGTTCCAACCCCCTGCCATGGCGACAATTCCCACTGAGAAAGGTCAGGGAATTATGGAACAGTTTGGGTTGAGAAGGATCTTAAGCGTGATCCTGTTCCAACCTCTGTTGTGGGACAATTCCTACTTGGAAAGATCATGGAATTATGGAACAGTTTGGGTTGGGAAGGATCTTAAACATGAACCTTTTTCCAACCCCTGCTGTGGGACAATTCCTACTTGGAAAGGTCGTGGAGTCGTGGAATGGTTTGGGTTGGGAAGGATCTTAAACAGGATCCCGTTCCAACCCCTGCCGTGGGGACACCTTCCATTAGGAAAGGTCTTGGAATCGTGGAATGGTTTGGGTTGGGAAGGATCTTAAACATGATCCTGTTCCAGCTCCTGCTGTGGGACTCCTTCCAGCAGAAAGGTCATGGAATTGTGGATTGGTTTGGGTTGGGAAGGACCATAAACATGATCCCATTCCAGCTCCTGCCATGGGACAATTCCTACTTGGAAAGGTCATGGGATTATGGAACAGTTTGGGTTGGAAAGGACCATAAAGTTGATCCACTTCCACCCCCTGCCATGGACACGATCCCATTCCAACCCCCTGCCACGGGGACACCTTCCAGTGGGAAAGGTCATGGAATTCTGGAACGGTTTGGGTTTGGAATTATCTTAAACATGATCCAGTTCCAACCCCTCTCATGGAGAAGGACACTTTCCTCTAGGAAAGATCATGGAATCCTGGAATGGGTTGGGTAGGATCTCAAACATGGTCTGGTTCCAACCTCATGCTGTGGGACAGGGACCCCTTCCAGTGGGAAAAGTCATGGAATTATGGAGTGGTTTGGGTTGGGAAGGATCTTAAACATGATCCTATTCCACCTCCTGCCATGGGCAGGGACACTTTCCTCCAGGAAAGGTCATGGAATCCTGGAATGGTTTGGGTTGGAAGGGACCATAAGGGTGGTCCAGTTCCACCCTTTGCAATGGGACAACTTCCACTGGGAAAGGTCATGGAATCATGGAATGCTTGGGGTCAGAAGGACTGGAAAGATGATCCAGTTCCAACCCCCTGCCACGGACAGGGACCCCTTCCGGTGGGAAAGGTCATGGATTCGTGGAATGGTTGGGTTGGAAGGGACTCTGGAGATGGATCCAGAGATTCCCCAGGAGATTTTTCTCCTGGTATCCTCACATCCCAACCCTTCTGGTGGACCAGGGGTGGTCCTGACCTGGGGACGCTCTGGGTTTAAGCCTCGCACCGGGGCTGTGCCTTGGGATGCTCCACCGGGAGCAGCTCCAGGGATGCGGCGAATCCAGAGCCGTGGGAGAAGGAGGTGGAGGCAGAGGGAGCGTAAAGAGGAAAAACCAGGAAGTTTTAATTCCA